GTCGTTCTGGCGTCAAGCAGCCTTAGGCCACTGAGTATTACAGCCTTGAAACTACCTAGAAGAGATTGCCAGGAAACCCCAGGATCCGGAAGACAGTTTAAAGACAGAACAGACTAACCCCTTTTTTGAGAATCCGGGTTGAAATGTGGAGGGATTCCCGGCCTCCTTTTGCTTGTATTAATGAAACCTACATTTCTGTGAAGAAAAAAAAAAAAAATAATAATAATAATAATAATAATAATAATAACTGACCGACAGAAGTAAGCAGAGGACAGGCAGACTACTTCTCATCCCCCACCCTGAGAGGCGGATACCCACTGGGGAGCCCGGGAGGGTGCCTGGGTACTTTTAGGATGTTTCCCTACCACCCCGTGTCTTCCCTTGGCCTTTTCTGATATGGTTGGGTTGATGTGCAGTAGTCCCCTGCTGACAGGTGCCTCGGGCCGGGCAGGTAGGTCCTTCCTCTCTTTTCTACCTTCCCACAAACTGGTTTTGTTCATGATTGGCTGCTTGCCGGTAAGAAGCAACCGGACTGCTTGCCGATAAGAAGCGACCGCCCTTTTCAAACTCGGGGACTGATGTTACCGCCTTCTGATGTTATGACTGCCTTTTCGAACTACGGCCATTTTTTCGTTGCCCATTATTGTTTTTTTTGCCCTTTTGAACTTCGTTTGTGACACAAACGAAGTTGCCCCTTAAAAAAAAAAAAAAAAAGAACTGCATGCATCCCAGAGTCCCAGGGGGAGCCTCCATCTATTGGTGGGAAGCGGCATCTGCTGGAAAGCGGGTCCACAAACAACCCTTGAACCCTCAACTTTGTAAATTGTAATGACAGCAACCTACTGGGCTCACCCCCCAAGAATGAAGTTTGGGCCGTTTGGCAGGTAGAACTGCACGCCAGCCTGTGGCCCTATGTAGCTCGCGTACATGACAGCCCAGGGTTAAACCACCAGTACTTGGGCGACGCCTTAGCTTTAACGCTACACGATTTCTGCGGCCGGCGAGACGTCGATTTTGCTTTGAGATTTGGGCGGCCGGCGCGGCGCGCAGTGCCCAAGTACTGGTGGTTTAACGTAGTGATACAAGAATACACAGAACCCCTGGGCCCTGGCTGCTAGAAGGAGAATTGGCAATATAGGGTCTCGCTCCACTACTCTCTACTCACGAAAAGTTCCGTGAGTCCTTCTAGAGCTGTCAGACCTGCAAAACTCTTGAAAAAAAAGTCTTGGCTCCACTTAGGGCACGCTCACACTGGGTACCAAAACCGTAAAACTCCCAAAAAAATGTGCACACGGCTGGTCACACACAATGGTTCCGACCCCAAACACCCCATTCGCAAACCCATTTGTCAGCGGGCTGCCTGGCCGCCTGTTTGAGGAATTTGCGGTAACCTCCAGAGGTTACGCAAAATCCTCATTCTTTTTTTATTTAATTTTCATAAATGAATGCAAAGTTGAAAAGGGAACATGTACATTCTATATTTGGGGTTACTTCTGTGTGACTTGAAACCCCAAACAGCAGCACCCTGATGGCCCGGTAGCGACCGTGTCTTTAGCGAAATGGGAACGCGGTGTGAACGCAGTGTGACCTGAAACGTCCCAAATACCCCAATTCGGCACAACCCATTTTTGCAATTTATTCGGATTTGCTACCGCAGTGTGAGCGTGCCCTTACTCTAGATGGGTTTGCTCGAGATGCAGTGGCAGAATGAGACGAGCTCTCTGACTGCGATGGGTTTGCTCGAGATGCAGTGGCGGAATGAGACGAGCTCTCTGACTGCACTAAAAGACAGCGCCGCCCTGTTCTGATGGTCGGGACACGCGGCACACTCTCGAAAGAAAAATGGTTGGAGCGGGGGTACGAGGGAGGACACTGGAAAAGCATGTCGTCTCTGGGTGGGCACTCTAGACACTTCGAGAGTGCCCTTCGAGAGTGCCCTTCGAGAGTGCTTTCTGACAGCTCTCGAGAGCACCTATCTAGAGTGAGTGGAGCAAGCCCTTACTCTCGAAATTTCGAGAGTATAGAGTAGTGGAGGCCCATAATATAATTAAATTAAATTAATGTTCTGCTACACCCCATTCCTACAGCAGACAGCGTGTTGTTGTCGTACTTAGATGTACTTGTAATAACAGCACGCTGCGGGGAGCTGCTCCTATAAAGAACAAAAATTGCCAGGAAGAAGGACCCAGAAGGGCCAGAAGCCTGAGGGCATACTCACACGAGGACCAAAAGACCCAAATTCCCAAAATTTGAGTCATTTTTTGGGTCACACTGGAGAGGCTCTTACCCAAATGCCTCAAACGGTGACCCTTCTGTCAGCGGCCTGGCCGCGGGCGGACCCTTTTCGAGACCACCTCCAGGGTTTTTTTCTGTTTTCGCGAATTGAAGAGAATCGTAGACGAAGAAGACAGCCCGCCAAACAACTGAAAGTGCGACTTGGAACATTTTTACGTTGTAGATAAGGCCCAATGGTTTTTTTTTTTTTTATAAAGGTGATTGCCTGTATCAACACCTCTCACCACCAGGCTGGTTTTGGAAAAAAAAAAAAAAAAAAAAGGGGGCATACGTGGGAGGCCCGCTTTACGGCGCAAGTGATGTACCACTACTTTTTTTTTTTTTTTTCCTCAAAATTCAACATCAAATTACTCAATACTCATTCGAAGGCCAGGGACCTTGTCCCACTAGCTCCGTTGAGCTAGTTCAACGTGGGGTTTTCGAGCCTGTGTGACTGTACGAGACAAGGGAGATGCTAGTCGTCCAATTCATCTAACGGTCCGTTTCTAATAAAAACGGCAATAGAGACCATCCTCGCTTTTTCTTACATCAAAAAACAGAAACAAATCCTTTCTCTCGAATACTACTACCCCTACCCTCGCCACTTTCCGTTGAACTAGCTGTCTCCTTTTTTCGAGACAGCTAGTTCAATGACACTCTTGTTCCCCCAAAAGGTGTTTTTGGAAAGAAACTGAACGAGCCTCCTTCCGCTTGCCATTTTTAGAAGGGATTCGGGCAACTCTTCATTTTCTGCTGTGGAAGCGCCCSTATGCCACTCCAATTGTGAAAAATGAAAAACGAGAACAATTGTATTCCTGCCATTTATAAATGCATTTCTCATTTGAAATTGAATTAAAATGATTTTTTTTAGCTGTCGCACCGTTGAGCTGCCTCAATTAAACGGTGCATATGGGACATTGTCCCGGGAGGGAGAGCCCACTAGCCAGGTATGTGGATTAGTGTGCCGGGTGGGGGACGGGTGGGGGACAGGTGGGTGGCAACGTGAAATAAGGAAAATAATCGTAAAAAAGCAAGGGCAAGAGTAACTCCATACACCATTTGCTGTAGGTGAGGGGATCGAACCCTCCCAAACACCTCCCAAAAAATAAGGGGGCACATGCATGTCAAAGGAAGAGGACAACAGCATTTCCCATGTGAAACATTTGCGAGGACTACAGACAACTTGGACGAGGGTCTGACATGGACTGACATTCCCTCATGATGGGAAACACCGAAAATTTTTGTTTTTGGCCTCTCTTCCACGCATGGGCCACGACCCAAAGGTGAGTGAGGGCACGCTCACACTAGGTACCAAATTCCCATTTCCCCCAAAAAAAAAAGAGTTCCCGGACAGTCACACATGGTGAACATCTGCCCAAATTCTCAAAAGGGGTGACCATTTGTCAGCGGCCTGCGAAGCCGCGGGGGGAGGAAATTTGCGGTGACCTCTGGAGGTTACCGCAAATTCTCAAATCTTTTTCCGAATTATCGTGCAGTATTGGAGAAAAATGGAACCCCACGATATTAGCGGCCTATCAATTGACAAAACGAATAATTGCATTTGCCATTTGACGTATCCACCGTGTGACCGGCGCCCTCCACAACCACCTCGCAGAGTATAATGTAGAGACCTTGTCCTTAGCGTTTTGGGAACACAGTGTGACCGGCCACGGCCGCATTTCCTCAAAACGGCCGTTCCCATTTTCCCATTTTTTGGGAATTTGGGTACCTAGTGTGAGTGTGCCCTGAAAGGTGAGTGAAAAGAAACACAAAAAATATGGGTCTGATTTTCACTCACGTTCGGGACCCCCAGAGGAACACGGCAAGCAAAACAAAAGAAAGACCACCCAATGGGATGCCCCAAAAAAACATATATTTTTGAGGGCTAAAATACAGGAAAAACAAAACCACCGATCCCCATTCCCATCGATGGCGGAGGCGGGTAACACGCCCTCTACACTACTCCACATACAATGCTAGTGGGATCTCCCTCCGGGGTTCTCGACAATACGTCCCCGTTCACGACAGATATCTGGAAGCATCATCGATGTTCCACTACTATTGAACCCCCAGTACGTTTCCCTGTAGTTTTTCTACAATGCGCCTGCATCGCGTCTGACAGGATGTACCGGCAAGGCGTGCCTAGATTCAGGTAAATTGCATCGCGTGGAAGGCCAGGTTTGCCTGGATGGATTTTTTGCGAAGAGGCACCCCGACACATCCCCCCAGACGCCGCGCCTTGCATGCAGCCGCGCCATAGAAAAAGAAGTGGCTGGGAAACATACTGGCGATTTAACGCCAGAAAAGGGAGTCCATGCAGAGCATGTTTTTCAAAAAAAAAAAAAAAAAAAAAAAAAAAGTCTGCAGGCTGAGGTATCAAAACAGAGTGCACTATCTGACAGAAATTTAAACAGTACTGCATGCGGGTTGAATTTCTTGAAAAAATAATAATAATATTAATAATCTTAAGTGAAGTCCTTCCTGGCAACGATACAGAGAAGATTGGCATCATGATGGGCCCACTGCAAGGGGGAAAGGGAAAGGGGAAAAAAAAAAAAAAAAAAAAAAAAAAAGGGCGAACGACCTAATAATATGTAACAGCTTCCATTAGAGTCCGAAACCCCAAATTGAATATATATTGTCACATAACTATGAACTAAAAGAACCGGACTTTGCGAAAGAAAGAAAGCCTTAGGATGAAAAACAAAAGACAAAGGAAACCATTTCAATTGATATGCAGTGATGGGCCCATCATGATGGCCCCAGTGCAATCGTATGCCCCACCAATTTGAAAGCGAACACACTCAGACGGGTACTGCCTTGCACTGTGAACAGATGCAGTTCACAGCATCCTGCATGGTAGGCCTAAGCTGTGGGGCATCATTCGTGCACCTCATGGCGAACATTGCGAGGAAGTAAACGACCTCCCATTCCTCCCTGGACTGAAAGGTTGACGTCAGCCGGGGGTCGAAGAAACCAGCGAGCAGCTCATAGTTCATCGGGTTGCAGTCGTGAAGCAAGAATTGTCGAGACTCTGTCACGAGAAAAGTGTTCTGACGTGGCTGATGCGTCGACCTTATGACCGCCCTCCTCCCCGTAATCAGCTCCAACAGAACAACGCCAAACGCATACACGTCATTCTTCGTCGTCAACATCCTCTGTATCACGTACTCGGGCGCCATGTACCCTGGAGTGCCCGCAGCAGTTAGCGTACTGACCGTCTGCATTAGGTTGCTACCACTACTGTGAAAGCTCATCCCAATCAAGTCGTCGTCGTCTTCGCTGACCAGTTTCGCAAGTCCGAAGTCGATGAGGATGACACTCAGCTTGCTTCCGTGACCCTGCACCATCACATTGTGGCTCTTGATGTCGCGGTGAAGGATCGGAGGGTCCACTTCATGATGCATGTATCGCAAAACGGTTGCCATTTGCTTGGCGATCAGTAATCGCTCATCGAGATCCAAGCTCGGCCATGCAGGATCGTGCAGTCGATCGTGGAGACTACCACCGGGGATAAATGGGTACACAAGCATGCAGGTATTCTTTTCAAGGCAATACCCTATCAGCTTGCACAGATGTTTGTGGCGTAACTCGCTCAGCGTTTGCAGCTCTGCAGAAAATTGCTTGCGTCTGAGAGCGTTGGCCTTGCCGAATCCCTTTTTCATGACCTTAATCGCCACATCTGCAGGTTTCTGTCCAACCATCATAGTAGCCCTGTACACGTCGCCGAACCCCCCTCCTTTGCCTGTGAGCAGATGATCGGCTCCAAAATCTCCGGTCGCCGAGCTCAACTCCGAGAGTGTGAATCTCGTCAACCCTGGCATGGATTCTAGGATTACGGGTCCATCGGAAGCTTGGCTTTCCCCAGTCCACTCACTCCTCACACCTATGCTTGTGACCCCGTGTGATGTGGTGACTGTACAAGGTTTCTCCGACACTGCTCCTGTCCTCGATAGGAATAATGACGCAGATAACGCTCGTTCCAGAAAAAGCACTTCTTGATGAGCACCTGCCTGCCACTCAGCCTCAGCAGCAGAATTGGGCGTAGCATCAGAAGACGCTCCACGAGGGAGAGACATCCAGCGAGACTGCAGCGGAGAAAGTTTCTCCTCTGCCATGTTTGTCCGTGCAGTTTGTGGGCTCTGAGCTTCGTCCGCCCTTGATTTCGTTTTGACATAAGATTCTTCGGAAGTACATGTTCTGGAAAGCTTCTTTCCAACTGCACACAAAACAATGGCTCCCACCAAAAGACCCCCAAGGCACCCCATGCCCAGATAAAATGGCACCTTCGCTGCTGGTGAAGAGTTTTGCTTCGCCGCCTCAGAGTCATCTGCCGCTGGAACAGGATGATCTACGCTCCTTGGCTTCGCACCAGCACGTTCCATGTCTGTGTTTGTGCTCCTTCCTGAAGGCGGAGCACTTGGCGTCGTTGGCGATGCAGCTGCTGTTCCAACCGTTTGGTTTGTACTAGGCGATGTCTCCGCCGCTTCAACCGGCGCTCGGTTTGTAGGCGATGTCTTCGCCGTTTCACCCGACGTTGGTGTTTCCGATGCAGCTAGGTAGCGGTCCAGAATCCGAGGAGGAACGTAGTAAGCTCCCCATGCTGCAGCTGCAGTTGGTGCTGTTGGAGTTGTGGGCATCAATGGCGTTGTTGCGGTCGTAGGTGTGATTGTGATTGCTGGCACTGATGTCCCTTTCTGCTGGCATTTATGCAGAGCGGAGGAGTTTATTGTATATCTGAATATGACGGACACGGAGGTCCCGACATATAGAAACCGGTCGTCGCCAGAAAGGGTCAGGCATTGGATTCTATTGGAGCCCGGGAGTCGTAGGATGGTCGTTACCTGCCGCACGCTTCCGCCGGGCTCTGTGAATGTCACCCAGCACACCCTTCCACTCCTTCTGTCTTCTCCGAAGAACATATTACAGCCATCGGCTGTGAGGACAGGAGAGACTGGGCGAGAGAACGGCTCGTGATACCAGTCCCCGTCCAAAGAGCCTAATTGTGGGGTGAGAACCGTCTCCGTGGCCCCGGTGACGGTGCTCACCCGGCGAATACAGTTGTTGCCGAGGTCCGCTACGTAAAGCACGATCCCATCCGAAGAGATGGATCTGGGGTTAATGTATGCGTGGTCAACCCGAACCTCTGATGCATTTGCGCTGTCCTTGAGACCCGTATTGAGGGAGTACGTGTGCGGACCAGTGAGGACTTCCGGGGAGCTAATCGACGACAAACTGGGGTCCAAAGGGATCGCCCAGATTCGGTCCGCTCCTGAGACGAACAGTGTTTGCTGCTTGGGATGCGTTGCCAGCCCCAAAGGTCTTTCAAGACCTGCAAACTCCCCAACACTGTTGGTTCCGTATAGTACGCCCACCTTTCGTACCAGGTCCATACTGTTGTCCGCCACGAGCAGGGAGTAGGGGTTCAGCACCAGGATCCCTTGCACTCTATCAGCGCCTTCCCAAGGTCCAGCCACAGTCGTGAACTTGAAGGAGCTTTTTCTGGAATCTATGCTGGGCAGCGAAGGAGTGGTTTTCACCACAGTGTTGCTGGAGTTCAGTGCACCTGTAGAGTCCTCCTTAAAAAAGTACACAGTTGATGGCCTAGATTTTGTCGTCGCCATTGCAACTGGCAGTCTGTCGATTGAAGAAGAGTATGAGGCCCTGTTGCTGAAATCAATGACCCGAGGGCGCGGGTAGAGCAGATTCATGTTCCACGTAGACCGTATTGGCGAGGAAAGACCCCAACCTTCGTACTTCCGTCTCAGCCCACGATTACGAAGGAGCTTCAAATCACCCTCCTCCTCCCTGTTCTCCTCCTCCTCCTCTTCCTCCTCCGCGTGGTAAAAGTCAGTCACTCCTTTCTCTCGCCTTTGCTTTCTCCTTTGCTTTGTCCTTCTACTGTTCGCCGGACTGCGGCGGCATGGACAGTGAAAAATGTTACTCCTTGCGTTGGGAGTTTTCCCCTCACTGACAGGAGTATTGGTAATTGTATTCATACGGGCAGTACTTCGATCTTCGCTGCTGCAGCGATTTTCGCAAGCATGTCCACCACTACGAATAGAGTACTCATGCTGGTTCCCTTGGGGTCTATCGTTATCATCCAACACGGTTGCCGTCCTGGTAGAAGACCGAGATGGACGACCCTGAAGACTGACGCTGGAGGAGGAGACATGTCCAGATAAAACTATGTTTTGCGAGCGTCGCCGTAGACTGATGCTGGAGGAGGAGACGTGTCGAGATAAAACTATGTTATTCGAGCGTCGCCGTAAATCTTCATGTCGGCGATGATACCCTGCTTCTGTAGCTGCCACAAACTCACCAATCAGCAGGAGGTCGACGCTCTGGTGGTGCAGGATAAGCACATCAAACGACGCAAGAAGCATTCGCAGCGACCTGCTACGCACTGACCTGCAGTCCAAGTGTTGGTGGAGGAGGGTGACGATGAGTAGCAGCAGCAAAGCCATCATGATGATCCAGATCGATCGGACGTTCACGAACTAGTTACAGTCAAATATCTAGAGAATGATGGCAACTGAGGAGGAGCAACTGACAGTGTGCCTAGAGAATGTTGTTAACCAAGACAGACACTGCTGCTCGTCTCTCTCTAGCAGCTGAGTCTCTGCAACTGTCACCAACAAGTGTCTGCCAGCAGGCACTATCCTGGAAGGAAGTGAGGACCAAGAAAGAGGAGGAGGAGGAGGAGAAGAGAAAGAGGTAGGAAGAAGGTTAAGTCGGACAGACAGTGCTACACATCTCCATCTTGGAGATGTGTGCCCGCAACTGCAGTCAAGCAAGTGTTTGCTAGCAGGCGTTAGCCTTGGAGGAGGTAGAGAACCCTGAAAGAGGAGGCAGTGG